GAACCATTCAGTGTTCATGAAAAACCCTTTTGGGTTTGAGAACTAGGACCCAGATAATTCTTCCGGAGAGTTATGTTGACTTCTGCAAGGGGGCAGAGCACCGCCAGTGCAGAGCCACCTTAACGCAGGCTTGCGGCTTCAGGTTTCCCGTAGCACGGGAGCGATGCTCGCCCAGTGAGCAGCTCCTGGGGGGCTGGCCGTGGTCAGCTCTTGCCAGGAATGGGATTTTCTCCCTTGAGTCACCCTGAGAGTATGGACTCGGGGTCTCAGCTTCCTATGGAGGTTCTCCCTCAGACCCCACAGGGCTGATATGGCGCCTCAACGCCTGTCCTCTTTGCTGACAGGTCCACCAGGACTTGTGCCTGCAAGCGCCTGGACTGGCAGCACTGCCAGGGCAAAAGCACCCAGTGTTCTGCTGCAGAGACCTGCCAGGCTCCTGCTCCGTGGCCTTGCTTATACCCTCCCAGCCCGTTAGACTCCAGTGCTTTCCAGAGACAGTTAGTACTTACTATGGCATATTTATTTCCAGTGTGACGGTTAGTCCAGACAACCGAGGCTGCCATCACCGGAATTGGAAATCTCCTTGTTCTTTCTTCAAACAAGCATCTAAGGTTATAAATCCCCTCGAATCACTTTAACCACATTTCCCCAAGTTCTGGTGTGCAGTATTTTCACTACCATTCAGTCTGAAATATTTTCAAATGTCTGGTATGATTTCTTCTCCAATCTATGTGTATTTTTTTTAAGTTTCTAAATGTACTTACTTTGTCTTTTGATTACTGATTTCCTCCTTAATGGCACTGTGGCCAAAGACCGTGATCTATATTACTTATCTACGCACTACCTTTTGAAAGTTACTGACGTCTGCTCTGTGTCCTAGTACACAGACCATTTTTAAATGGCCCGTGTGTGCTTGAGAAGAATGTTTCCTCTGATGGGCATAAGTGGATCAAATTGTTAACGGCATTGTTCCATTCTTTCACATTCTCAATCAATGATCTAAGCTTCCATTACAAGAACCGAGAACAACTTAAACACAAATTAGGTAGAACAAAGGAATTTTAAAAGAATAAAAAGAGCAGAAGTCAATGAAAAAGAAAACAGAAAAACAACAGAGAAAAATCAGTGTAACCCAGAGCAGGTTTTGGGGGGAAAAGAATCTATAAAATTTACACGGAAAGGTCAGACACAAATGGAAAAAAAAAAAAAAGAAATCTATAGAGTTGATAAACCCTTAGCTAGACTGATGAGGGAAAAAGAAGAAAAAATGCAAAGTACGAACACCAGGCATGAGAAAGAAGAATATCACTAGATAGTCCACAGTGATTAAGAAAAGAGGATATTGTGCACAATCTTATGTAAATTATTTTGATAACTCAGATGAAATTCCTTAATGAACGTATATTTAAAAAAATGACATGGGAAGAAATAGAAAATCTAAATAGCCTCTTATCTATTTTTGAAAATTGAGTTCTTAATCAAAAACTCTAGTGCAAAGAAAATGCCAGGCCCAGATGGCTTCACCCATGAAATCTATTTATGGGTGAAATAATGCCAATTCTATATAAACTATGGCAGAACTTGCTTTAGGAGGCCAATTTAATGCTAATAACAAACATGACAGAGACATCACATAGCAAGAAAATGAGCAATAGAGACCAACGTCTCTTACAGACATTCATGCAAAGTCCTTAACCATGTAACCACGTATCAGCAAAGCTAATCTGGCTGTACAGAAGAAGCACAATACATCATGGCTAAATGGGAATCATCCAGGAATGCAAGGTTATTTTGGTATGTGAAAATCACTGCAATTCACCGTGGTAACTTGGTAAGGAAGCAAGCCTTCATGAATAGGCATCAAAAAGCACCTGACCACATTCAACACCCAGTCATGAAAACACACTCAGAACTAGGATATAGGGAATCTCCATGATCTGATAAAATGCATCTATAAAAACCCTAAAGCTAATGTGAAAGACTGCACACATTTTCACTAAGATGGGGAATAACATAAGGACGTTGGCACTGGATGTCCTTGCCAGGGCAGTAAGAAATATAAGGCACAGAGGTCAGAAAGGAGAAGCGAAACCACTGTTATTTACATAGAAGCACCCAGAAAACCCTACAGTCCACAGAAACGCCACTAGAACTAGGGTATGTAAATGGTAGGGTATGGGAGATAAGAGCACTAGACATAAACAACTGAAAAATGAAATAAAAATACAGTGTGCACAACAGCACCGCACATCTAGTATCTAGGACCAAACCTAATGGAAAATGTGAACGACCCACACAAAGAAAGCTCCAGTCCACTGCTGAGAGAAATTAACGACCCACGTAGCTGCAGCAATACATAACTTCATAGCTTGGAAGGCTCGATACTGTTAAGATGTCGATTCTTCCTAAAGTGTACTCAAGACACTAAAGAAAAAGTATTCAAAAGTGTATCCAAGGGGATCTCTATTGAAATTCTAGGAAGCTTTTTTGGTGGAAACTGAGAAGCTGATTCTAAAACGCACATGGAGACAAAGGACCTGAACAGCCCTAAGAGTCTCATAAAGAGCTGGAGACACACAGTCTGCTTTCAGGGTTTACTGCAAAGCTCCTGCGTCAAGGCAGTGTGGCAACAGCACAAGGACAAAGAGAAGTAGACTCACAGCTGAAGGGTCATTTGATTTTTGACAAAGGTAGCCAATCAATTAGTTGGGAGAAAAAAGTCTATGTAACGAATGGTGCTCAAAGATATGAGAAAAATGAACCTTGGCTACAATCAAAACTGGAAACCCAGACGGTTCATCTGCAGGTGACTAAATGAACTGTGGTGCACCTACACGATGGGACATCACCCAGCAAAGAAAGCAGTCGAACACTGCCACATGCAACAACCTGGATGAACCTCAGACGTCGCATGAAAGAAACCACATGCACACACAGGCAAATCCACTGCCTAATTCCACTTATGTGAAATCCAAGAACAAGCAAACGCTATGGTAACAGAAGGCAGAGGGGCGCCTCAGGGAGGGGCCTGGCTTTACGGAGTTTAGGAAATTGTCTATCTGGCTTTGGACAGCAACTCCATGAGTGTCTGACCTCCCACCTCACTGACCTGAACCCTTTGGGTGGGCTTGTGTGTTTACCACCCCCAAACCCCAACTCCATAGGAACCTGCCACAGGACAGAAACAAACTACTCCACGATTAGACACCACTGAGTACCAGCCAGAGTGCCTGTAATTTAAAAGTCTGAGTACCAAGTCCTGGCAACCAGCTCGTGCTCTCTGTCCACCCTGCTGGTAGAAACATGCGACGTGGAATCGGCTACTCTATTTGAACAAATGTACACGGCAGGACCCGACACTTACTCCTAGGAGCCAGAAAAGGTGTGTGCAAACATGCAAACGCATGTCCTTGCTGCAGCTATTCCAACCGGGTGTTATTACATCAAATGTCCACCAACAATAAAATGGAGTTAACAAAGTATGGTATAGTCACACAATGGAATGCTACATGGCAATGAAAAGGAACAAATTTCTGCCAGACAACATGGTCGAATCTCAGCAACATACTTAACATAAGAAGCCAGACACCATGCACACACAAATACACACAATGTAACTTGCTGAAATTTCTACAACGCTCATACATGGCAACCAACCTTGCTCAAGTCAAGAGTGTGGACAGCTCTGGGGTAGGAGTGTGGGTGGGTCCAGCCAGGACACTGGTGTTGTCCACGTCTTGCCCAGGCTGTGGCTTCTGCACTACCCACTTTGGGATAATCCATTCAGTTGTGTGTGTTTTGCATACTTTTATGAAAGCATGTTTTACTTCAATATAATCATTTAGAAGTTGAAGAAAAAAGCAGCCACAGGCCCCGGGCTCAGGGGCTCACTCTATACCCAGTCTCCTAGGTGGGGCAGTAACAAGCTTGGGAGGACACACGTTTCTCTTGGACACATCTGAAGGCCAAGAGTCCTCTCTGCTTATGACTCCTCAGAGGGTGAACTGAACTAGGGATCCCCGTTTGTCTCCACGTGCTGGGCCCAGCCCCACCCAAGGCCTCGCACCCCCTAACTTGTGAACCCGCGAGGTCTGTACTCTGCACACAGAGCACCTGGTGGGCCCCGAGTTTCTGCCCTGGAGCTCTGAGTCTGACAGGACCAGCGTGGAGCAGATGAGCATTTCTTTGGGCCTCAGAGGCTGCACCTGAGTGGACGTCACCCCAGCCCTGCCTGGGAGGGACACATCCCAACTGGTCTGGTTAGCGTGGCAGACACCACGTGGAGGACACAGTGAGGCTCCTGTGCCAAGGGGAGACGGGGTGCTGCACAGCCCATGAGTGAGGCTGGCATCGCTGGGCCAGGCGGAAAGCCACACATCACCCAGAGTCCACGCAGGAACGGGACGCCTGTGAAAGGACCTGCAATGTGCTACGCTCTGGGCCCTGCCACCTCCATGCCCCTGACACACAAACTTCCAGCATCCTGCCTTTAGCCTTAACTTTTCTTGTACATCGATAGCTAAGTGGATATTCATGTTTGGCAGATCTTGACATTCCAGCCGAGATTCAGCTGTTGCCAAACCCAATATACTGGTCAAACCTCTGCCAGGATCAAACTTGGGAACTGCTTCTGATCCTTGACTTGGGTGACACCCAGCCCGTCAGCCGCTGAGTCAGAGGCAGGAGAGATCATGCTTATGCTGGCTGCGGAGGCCTTGCAGCCTCGTCAGGGTCTCCTTGAGCCCTGAGCTGCAGAGGTGAGAGCAAAGAGACACCACCCCAACCCTCCACAGGCCTCTGCCCTGCCATCTTCATCTTCAATTCTCAAGAGCTTTGGCTCTGAGCCAGGCTGGCTGCAAAGACCTTGGGGGTGCAGAGGGGACAGGAGCGGATAAGGAGCATGAGGGCAGAAACCACAGTCAGCAGAGGGCCCCAGAGCTGCACCACCCAGCGCTTGGCTCCACTGTGGGCTGGCTCTGGCCAGAGCCGCCATGACATTGAGTCAGTATTAGATGGTCTAAACACTGCACTGTATTTTTAAGGACTTTGTACATAGTATTTCCAGTGGCAGAACTGTAAAATTTTTGATACAAACTGCATTGTTGTAGTAGAGGACTGGCAGGTGGCTGGACATCAGGGCCCTCACCGGAGTGTGACTGCCATGCTCGCTGGAGAGGAAACAGAGCCCCACAACCAGAGAGGGGACTGAAGTTGGATCCAAGACGAAGCCTTGGCAGCCAGTGAACAGTCATTTAAAACGGTCCTTCCTGCCACAACTGTGACTAGCCCCCCACCACCTTCCCCGTGGCTGTCCATGTAAATGCTGCCGCCGAACCCCTGGGCCGCCTTCGCATGCTCCCTGCCGGGCCGGGCTCGCGACGCCTTCAGAGCTCATTGTGCCGAGCTCGTGAGATCCTGCTGGACAGATCCTGCAGGTGCTTCTTCACCTGTGGGCGGAAAGCAGTGCATCAGCTGAGGACGACACGGCGTAGTCCAGTTCCATGAGGTCACAGCTCGCCATCGTGAGACGCACGATCTAACGAGCTCTCTAACCTACTCTGCAATTATCCACCTGTCCAGAAGTTGTCATAAAGAAATCATAAAGGCAGCTCACTATTAACTAGAAAACATCCACCGAAAAATATTAAAAACGAACAGCTGGAAGCAGACCCTACTGAAAAGGAAAACTATGTTTTCTCGTCATCTGTCATCATTTTTAAGAGCAACAATGGGAAATACTCTGGGATGGGGCTGTGGGCGAAGGTGCCTCTCCCTCCCGGCCCCCGACCCTGCCCGGTTACGGATTTCTCAGCCAACGATGCATCTTTCTTCCATGGTCAGGTGAAGCTAGACGAGTTTCATGTTTCATCTCTGCCCATCACAGGTGAACTCCCTGCAAATTCTCAGGCTACAACGTTAACTTCAGGCTCTGCTTCCTGCCCTGCTGGCGAGCCTCTGGGCCACAGGCTGCTGGTTTCTCCCCTCATTCCCTGCCAGAGGCAGGTGCAGACCCACATCACCCTCTCCTCTCCACACCTTGGCCTTAGTTTATTTCTAAAGTTTTGTTTCCTTTCAAATCAGCAAAAAGGCACAAAAGAGACTCCTGCCCACTGCAGCCCCCAGCCCCTAATTCACTGTGGAAGCAGCTGGCACTGTGTCCACAGCTTCTGGTGCCTCTGCGGTAACTCTGTGCTGCTGGCTTCCCAGCCCTGTTCCTGCCTGTCCTCCACCACCTGACCCAGAGGCTGTTCTGCAGAAAGGGCTGGAAGGAACCCGATTTGCGGGTTATCACAAACGATCCACCCGGCACCCGCTGCAGGGCGCCCAGGTCACGCCCCATCTTGGCCACCACAGGGGATGAGGACACTGCCTTGGGACTCTTGTTCACCCGAGGGTCAGGAGATCACACTGCACGCGCTGGGAGCTTCCCAGCGCAGACCACTTTGGCCGTCGTTGTCCTGCACACCCGAGAGACATGGGCTAGATCTTGCCCAGGAAGCGTAAGGAGAGCTGGGTCAGCTGGAGCCCTGAGCCCTGAGCCCTGCAGGGGGCCTCGCCACCTTTCCTCCCGCCTCCCGGGCCTGCGGGGCGGGACCCACCGTGTAGCCCAGCTCCTTGGTCTTGCCCTCCAGCAGCGCGTGCTTCTCCTTGCTGCGGCTGACGCGCTCCCCGTCGCCCATGCTCTCCGCGTGCTTCAGCTTCTCGTGGGAGATCTCCAGCTGCTTCTGGTAGTGATTGTGCTTTTCAATTTTGGCTTCAAAATGTTTAAGCTCCTCCTAGAACAACAAGCCCTAAGTGCCATTCGGGGCCTTGCTAAACCAACATCACCCATGGGGATGCAGGGGCGGGGCACACAGTAGGCACAGGGACACACCTAGTAGTGACGGGGAGGGCAGGCTGGCCCGGGCAGCACCCTGGAAGACAATGTGATGGGCACTGGCTAACTAGCTCTGAACGGAAGCCCCAGGGCCCATCACAGCCACCCGGCACGAGTCTGCACCTCCCTCTTGCCGGACCTGACCCAACCTCCTTGCCATCTCTGTGACGGCATCCCCACCCCAACCTACTGGGTGTCCGGGTCCTTCCTCACGCTGACCCCACATCCAGGCTGACACCCGTGGCTGCCACTGCGCCCTGCCCTCTCCCTCCCGCCCTCATGCTGTGTCTGGGACCCCAGCCAGACTATGGTCCCAGATCTGCCCTGGCTGGCTTCGACCCACTCTCCCCACTCCTCCTGCCAAGCCCCACACGGGTGCCTGCTCCCAGCTAAGGTACCCCAGAAGCCCCGACCCCTCCTGGGTGTCTAAAAGGGCCCTTCCTGGGGCCATGGAAGCACTAAGCTCCACGAGGGCAGGACCAGGCCCAAGATGGATGCGCGGCATGGGGACATCACTGAACTCAGGGACACATACAGACCCCGCTGCACTCCAGCTCCTGCCAAGATCACTGCTCACAGGCTGCCCTGCTTCCTGCTGCTTCCTCAAGGCCACCCACCAGAATGATCCAGAACTCTATATGCTCCAGGACTCCCTTCCATCCGAAACAGTCCCCTTCCAAACAATCCCAGTTGATGCTGGTGCCCCCAGCCCCCCTCACCCGCCACGGCCCAGTCCTTCCCTGACCCTTGACCCTCGCATGCTCACATGACCCACTGAGCACACACAGCTTTGTCAGAGCAGGACCCACACTAGGCCGCCGCTCAGATGTTATGAATGAACGAAGGAACCAAAGCCCCTTCCCTCAAGGCCCACGGCCCCAGTGTAGGGTTTCAGTGTCTCCCCCGCAAAATACTTCAAAGCACCAGCTCCCAGCAGCCCCCGCCCCACCAGACAACTGGGCCACCTCCTCCCCCTTCTCAGCACCCCTCGTGCACAGAACGTCCACCCCAGGCTAAGCAGAGCCCCCTGAAGGCAGAGGCACCCAACAGGGGCCACCGTCCCTGCAGACTGCAGGCCTCTTGGGAGGGGCGTGCACACACGGTCCCACGCAGGCCACTACGAGGACGCCAGAGGGACGCAGAGGACAAGAAGGAAAAGGGTCTAGACAAAAACATGCATTTGTTCACTGTATGATTAAGGAAAAAATAGCAAAAGAATCCCTGCCACCTCATCAGGGTTCAAAAGGAGAGACGGCTGCCAGATAACTTTGCTGAGACGGCATCGACCTGCACTCTCCTTACCCGGAATGACTCCAGCTCCTTCTCAGTAAGGTTGGCTGTCTTGGCCAGGTCCCACAGATCAATCACTCTGGGTTCCTCGAACTCTGCGCAAGAGCAAAAGCAGCTTCAGTGGTCTACGCGGTGCATGCACTGGAGCCGAGGGGCTCACATGGCTGATCCAGCCCGAGGGAGCTGTGGGTGTGAGCCAACCATGACTGTGTGAGCGCAGGGGGTGGGAGAGCGCGCTCGTGCCTTCAGCGTCCTTGGAGGCACAGCGGGGCAGGCTACAGCTCACATGACATGGCTGGAACGTGGCTTCCTTTTCCCTTTGGTCAAAGGGAATACTTTTCCTTTGTGTCCAAACACATAGAAGCCGGCAGCTGTGCCCGGGAGCTCCACAGCGAGCACCTGGCTGCTGTGACACGTATGGCGAGGTGAGGGGCGGCCTGCTGCAGAGGCTGCTCAGGCCCTCAGTTAAAGACTGTCCGGCCACTGTCAGGCTGCCTCCCTCCCAGCTCCTAAGCAAAGCAAACCAAACTGAGCTCCTCAACCTGCGCTGGTGCTCAGAGAGGATGCGGTGGAAGATGCCTCCCCCACCTCGGAGGAGACTGGACCAAGTGGCCTGCCCAGTGAGCCCATCACGGCAGCTCTGCTCCTTCCTCTGTACTGACGCTTCCTGTCTAGGACCCGAGAACCCTGGGCTCACAGGGGTTGCTGGAATGACCAGGCAGACCAGCAGGAAGAACTACAGGAACAGGCTGGATGCGCAGGAGACAGCCCAAGAGAGGGAGGTCAGAGCTGCCATTTGCTGCACTGACCAGAGCCAGGCTCACGTGGGTCCCTTTTTCCCTTCAGTAACGCAGTGAACCCTCATGCAGGTACCACCACCACGGCAGGCGCAGGGAGCCGGGGGTTGGGGAGGCACACGGCTGACACCTGCATAACACAGCTGCCGCCACAGAGCCAGCCAAGGGGAGCTGGGCGCCAAGCCCCATGTGACCACTGTGCTAGAGAGGAGGTAGTTCTGCCCGGCACCTGTGGACAGAAGCCAGCCTTGTGGTCTCAACACGGCAAACACATCTCTCACTGGCTGCCGCATCCGTGAGTCTAGAGCAGGATCTGGCACATGGCCAGCATGCGATGCATGTTTGTAGCATGAACAAATACACACAATTAGAAGCTACGTGAAGTGACGCCCTGACACACTCCATGTAAACCCTGCGCAGGGCTCCCTGGCCTGGGTCCTGAGCGAGGAGAAACCCAGCGAGCAGCCTGCCAGCGAGGGCTTGTAGCGCACGAGTGAGGACACTGGTCTGAGCTGCCGAGATGGTGGGGCCGCCCGTTTCTGTGCTGAGGGAGACTAACCCATGGGCAGTGACAGCCGTGCTTGAGGACCCAGAGAGGGAGCAGAAGGGCCCGTGCATGCTGGGCCCAGGGAGATGTGGGAAGGTGTGGCCACCCGGGGCCGTGGCTGACAAGGGCAGGACTGGCGGCTAGCCACGCAACAGCTCCTGGGGGCGGGGCCCTGCTGTAGTCCCGAGGTCGGCTGAGCGTGACTAGGGGCTTACTCCATGTACTCGCCCGCCACAAACACAAGCAGAGACAGCCCCATCCTCAGGAGCAACGGCCAGCGCAGGGGCATGGGCAGTCAGGGCTGTGGGGCTCACCGGCCTCCGAGTCGTAGCCCTGGTGGCTGACTCTCCGCAGATGGCCGAGGCCCTGGTTGATGCTGCGCAGCTGCTCCTTCAGCTCCGCGTGTCTGCTGTGCAGTACCTCACCCTTGATGGAGCTCAGGTCGGAGGGACTGATGACGTTCTCGTGGATGTCTGTGCAAACGGAAGCACCATGCCTGGTGAGCTCCTCCTCGAGAAGGTCCAGCGCCTGGGCAGCCCCAAGCCCCTGCCCACCCGGGTGTTGTCTAGAATTCACTTGGCTGAGAGAGCTCAAAAACACTCTCATTTCTGGCTGAAAGTGTTTCCCCCTTCAGTGGGCCCCTGTAGCCCTAGACAGTAATGTGGGTGCCGTCTCCTTTCGAAGGTGAGACACAAGACCACATGTGTTCTGGGGCTACACTTGGCAGAGATGAAGGCAATGCGCCTAACCCCATGGGTTGACTCTGGTTTCTGGGGCTCCCATGCCCTTCCCTGCTGGTCACCAGCCTCCAGCGTGCTCTAACTGTCTCAGGGAGCAAAAGTCACATATTTGGGAAGGGTCTTGAGTCCAAAACAAAAGACTCATCAGAGAAAGTCATGCCAGTCAAAAGGCAGCAACTAGGCCAGGCAAGGTAGCTCATGCCTGTAATCCTAGCACTTTGGGAAGTGGGAGGATCACTTGAGGTCAGGAGTTCCAGACCAGCCTGGGCAACATAGTGAGACCCCATCTCTACAAAAAACCAGAAAAACTAGCTGGGCATGGTGGTGTGCGCCTATAGTCCCAGCTAATGGGGAGGCTGAGGCAGGAGGATCAGTTGAGCCCAGCAGATGAGGCTGCAGTGAGGTATGATGACTTTACTGTACTCTCGCCTGGGCAACAGAGTGAGACCCTGCCTCGGGGGGGGAAAAAAAAAGGTGGTAGCTGCTGGTCTGTGATGTGGGTACAGATGCCAGTGACAGCAGAGGTTGCCCAAATCACTTAAGAAATGGCTCATCTGACCAAATACATTTGGGCAATATCAAACACAGCCCTTCCTAAACAGTGCAATTCCCATGCACGAGCTGGGTGGAAACCTGAGGAAAGGGCATGGTGCGTCCCTCCCCACCCAGCAATGTCATGGGTTGGGGCACTCTGGGGCCAGGGCTGCCCACTGAGAGGGCACACCCCAGGTACAGGGCTCGCAAGGCCCTCCCTATAGAGGCAGAGAGCACCTTCAGTTCTACTCAGGGTCTCCAGCAGGACATTGTACTCGTGAACTTTCTCTTTGTGATGCACAAACTCCCGCCAGAGCCTGTCCAGTTCTTCGCTGGAGAATTTCCCAGAGGTCTTCGCCTAAGGAGGGAACAAGAACTTGAGTCAACCCTTGTGGCCTTGCCAGTCTGCCCATGCCATGGAGCCTGGATGCCCCCCAGCTGAAAGCTCCCCTGTGGTCAGGCAGGATCCTTTAGGTGTAAAGTGCTCGGGCTGGTTCTTGGCCATTACGACCCCACAACCCTCTAGTTGGGTTGTGTGTGGCAGGAAAACAAAAACTAAACTGTGGAGGAGAGGTCCAAAGTTGGTCCTGGATGTGTCTGGGCTCAGTGGGAGACAGACACCATGCTGGCCAGGTATGGGGAGCAGAAGGGTCCTAGAGCCCGCTGTCCCCTGCACCTGCCCGGTCTCCTGGCTGTGGCTGGCAAGAACAGCAATGCCATCTTCCTAGAAGGACCTTGGGCCAGTCCCCTCACTGTGGTTCCACCTGCCTCCCAGGCTGTGCAGTGACCCAGGGAGAATGCAGGTCCAGGGCACGGCCGGGGAGGCCACACAGGACCCTCCCTCCCTCCAACTCTGCCCCCTTCACGGCTACATCCCTCCTGACCAAGGATAGTGAATTGGTATTGGGTTGGTACAAGAATTCCAATCCTTGACCCCAAATCAGTGGAATCCAAACTGTTCTAGACCAGCAGCTGGTGGAAAAGGGAGCAGACTCGACTAAACCCCGCCACGAACCGACCAAGACACTGCCACATCCCAACGCCTGGCCCCACCCCATCCTGAGGCTTGCACCCCACGGAAAAGAGCAGGGCAAGCCCAGCACTCCTCCCAGACACCACACTGAAAGCCCACCCGAAACACGCTCCCCTGGCTGAGGACACCTTTCCTCATCACAGAAGCATGTCCGTGGGACAAATTCTCAAAATTAAAAAGTAGACACAAAGTAAAAAGTTCAGCCACGTTACCTCAGGATCCTGTGCAAGTTAACTACATGCTAAGCACATTCTACATATGTGAAGGCCTAATAGTTATAAGCCAAATAGAATTTCCATGTTGAAGGGGCAAGACATATTCTAAACAAGAAAGCTGAACATATTCACAGGAAAGGGAAAATGAGCACAGAACAACTGCATCACAGTTCCATTAAGAAACCAGTGTCTTCTGAGACTTGCCCCAAACCCTGGGCTGCGCCTGATGGGCCTGAAACTCGGCAGCGCAGACAGCAGCCCCACCTCAGCTCTCGACACCATGCAGGTTTTCGAGGCCCTGGAGAAACGCAAGGGTACCTTGTGCCACAGCTTCTCCAGCCGCGGGTCGTCCAGTGAGTCCTCCCGGGAGCTGTCGCTGAGTGAGTTGCTGTCCACCTGCCGGGCGTCCTTCCTCCCGTCCAGGCCGTACTTGGCCAAGATGACTAGGAGAGAAGAGGAGGTTTATTTAACATGGTTTCCTTCGAGAAATGGGAGCCAACACATCTTAACTCTCGGAGTGGGTGAGACAGGTTTGCTTCTCACTTTCTGGAAGTTTCCTTTCACCCCAGTTTTATGGATGACCACTTGCGATCTGTCGGAAATAAGAATATAAGCAAACTTGGGGGCTGCAAGCCTCCCAGCATTTACAAACAGGTCCAGCGACCCACGGAACATCCCAGGACAGACACAGCCCCAATTTCTGCCGTGGGGCAAACTCTTATGACAGAACAGAGGCCCCACTGGCTGAGTATGCAGTGTGATGGCGGGGTGAGCTTTCCAACAGCCCAAATCACATTTTTATTTGGAGGAAAACATTTTCTAAAGAACAAACTTCAGTGTTCAGCCAGGCGCAGTGGCTCATGCCTGTAATCCTAGCACTCTGGGAGGCTGAGGAGGGAGGATCACTTGAGGTCAGGAGTTCGAGACCAGCCTGAGCAAGAGTGAGACCCCGTCTCTACTAAAAACAGAAAGAAATTAGCTGAGCATAGTGGCGCATGTCTGTAGTCCCAGCTACTTGGGAGGCGGAGGCAGGAGGATCCCCTGAGCCCAGGAGTTTGAGGTTGCTGTGAGCTAGGCTGATGCCATGGCACTCTGGCCTGGGCAACAGAGCAAAAATCTGTCTCAAACAAAACAAAACAAACAAACAAAAAAACAAAACACTTCGGTGTCAGCAGCTTCTAACAGAAAGTTACTAGTGGTAGCCAGGAGAAATTTTGTCACCAGTGTGCTGCTGCCCAGTCAACATGGGGGTCGGGGGGAGCTTCCAGACAATCTGCCCACGTGTTACCCCCAAGGCCCAGAGGGCTCTCATGTGTGGGCCGGGTTCGCTCCCATCACACATTGTCACTACTAATATGAGAGCAGGGGCTAAACACCAGCCTGGTGCTCAGGAACACAGCGAGTAGAGCCCAGGGTGTTGGTCTAGCCTCTGTCCAAGGTAGCAGCTCTCCAGAGGCCGGAATTCTGACTTGCAAACTGGCACCACAGTTCTGTGGGACAAGCCCTCTGCTAGATGTCCCTGGAATCCAGGACTCACCTGCTTGCCCCTGCCTCTTCCAGCATCTCCTCCCACACCCTGTTTGTCCCGCCACGTCTGTTCCTTAGTTGGAAAAGGGCTTGCCTGTCGTCCCTTTCAGGGGGCTCTCCCAGGGCCCACCTCCTGCAGAGCCCGCCCTGCTGTTCCCTTCAGGGCCTCACTTGGCCTCTCCCAAACTCCTAGCCCCTTCTTCCCTAGAAGCTCGGTATGGAGCTTCCCCGGTCTTCTGAGTCACCAGGAGCTCGGAGCCAGAGGCTGGAGAAGCTGCCTCAAAATCCCATCAAAAGGCAAACTGCCCACAGTCACACTTGGCAGCCTCCTGTGAAGGTTCCAGATTCTGGGGTGCTGGGTTCTGCATGGAGCACTGAAGCTGGCGGTAGCCTCAGGAGTGCAGGAGCCTTGGAGCTCCAGAGAGGACAACCCACCCTGCATCCTGCGCCTGGGAGTGAGGCGGCCCAGGGGTTGGGTGGACGTGGGGATGGCAGCGCACCCTGGAGCGAAGTGCGGGACTATCCCAGGACTGACCCCCTGGCGGTGTGCTCCCAAGGTGCTGGGGCCTGGCCAGGTGACCAAACATCCTGGTGTGCCCAGGCAGAGCTGGCTACAGTCAGTGCCCTAGGGCTGTTAGTAGCAGCGCCCGTTCTCATCCCCAGGCTCCTGGGCTAGACACTGCACTAGATGGCCCCAGGCACAGCATCAGCCTTCGTGATGGCTCGGGGGACTGAGGGAACTCGGGGAGCCCAGGTGCCACATCCAGAAGGTAGGCCGGTCGCCACTCAGAAAGCATGGGTACCCCAGGAGACCTCGCCCTCCTGAGTGCTCGGCAGGGCCTGTTTCCTGGACGCCAGCTCTTCGCATCCCACTGATCTTCTGCCAGCTCACTTGGCACCAGCAAAGAGACCAACATCACCCAGGCAGTAAACAGAGGCAGCTGCACATGGGCCACAGACCTGGATTCGGCCAAGGCTGGAAGCCACGCGCAGGGAGGACGCTGAGCCTCGCAGCGAGAGGAGCTGGTCGTGAGCCCACCTCTCTCTGCCTCACATGCTCCTCCCACTCGGCTCCGGGCCATCCTCCGGGGGGCTGGTTCCCTCTGGGACGGATGAGGGACTCTCGCAGCTCGACCCTCCCAGGCTGTTGCTGCCACACGGCCAGGTCCTTCCCCGTCAGGGGTTAACTCCGGGATGGGCTCCTTTCCTGGCCCTTGGGAGTGGCCTCAGACATGCAGGTTGGGGGGTGACTATCCAGAACCGTTTCCATTGTCCCCCGTCACCTGACAGTCCCTGTCACCACATCCTGGTCTATGTTCTGCCCACACCCTTGAACACATACAGTAGAAATGAAGTCAGCTCTCTGCCTTTATTCCAGACGCAGCAACACGGCGTGCCTGGTGATATCTGCCGAGGGCAGAAGCAGGGCAGCTGGGGACAGAGCACTGGCTCTGGAGTCAGAAAACTCCTGCTTCAAATCTTGGCTGCACTACTCTCAGCTGCACAAGTCTGGATGAGTTACTTAACCTCTCTGAGCCTTTCAAATAGGGATCACAGTATCTCAGAGTTCTAAGCAGTAGATGTTCTGGCATTAGGCCTAAGGAAGGGACTTTGGAAATGGCAACTTGTGTCACTGTGGAAGACTTATGTCACCAAGTGTTGTGACGCCTGAGGAAGACAGCATGTGGGCAGCACCAAGCCAGAGCAGACTCCAGGCATGGTGGGGCTTTGTGGCCACACTCGGGGGCAACAACTACAGTAGCAACAGCCACCATCCCAGCCCCCGGTGGCGAGTACTGCACTTGGTTCATGACCACAATCCCATGAGACAGGAGGAGGAATGGGGCACGGGGACCCCGCAGTGCGCCCAGGTCACACAGAGAGTGGGGGGTAAAGAGGCGCCCACAGTCGGGCCACAGGGAGGCACAGGCTCGCCATGGGACCTGATGGTGCCTCCTCTGCTCTTCCACATCCAGACAGAAGGCAAGCAAGCAGTCAGTGGGAGCACTGCTCTCCGAAGTACTGCTGATCCAAGCCCCACAGGGCAGGGCGCCTGGGACCCACCCTCTTCCTGCCAGAGCCCTGCTTGAAAGGCAATGGTGAGGGGAGGATGGTAGAGAAGGAGGGTCTGAAAGAACAGTCATGACCTTGTCTTTTCAAAACCTCGGGGCCTGAGAACACATGTGTCTTCCACATACTGGGCGCCTGGCAGACGATTGCTCTGCCTCTTCTTGAATACCCACGGGAACAAGAAGCTCGCTAACTGCGTCATGACACAGTCCATTCTGACATTAGAAGGCTATTTTCATAACGTTAAAACCTGCCTCCCTGGAACTCCAAGATGCTGGGGACACGCCTGCTGCCTCCTCCAGGCGGCTGAGCATTCTGCTGCCCAAGCACTCCAGGGCCTCTGGCTGCCTGCACAGCCCTCCCTCCAGTTTGCCAACGACATTCCTGAAACAGCACAGGAGCTGGGGCCACAGCCAAGGCCGTGCTGTCCTCGGAGGTGAGCCCCTGTACAGGCAGCCCCTCCCTCCTGGCGAAGGTGAGGGAACCAAGAAGCCAGCACCACCGAGGCTGGGCGGCCGCTTCCCCACACACTGGTTGAGCATCTCTAATCTGAAAACCTGAAATCTGAAACGCCCCCAAATCTGAAGATTTTTGAGCACTTCCTTCACATCATGTACGAAGGAACTGCTCACTGAAGCGTTTAGGATTTCTGCATTCGAGATGCTGAACGAGTAGGTATAATGCAAATATTCCAAAATCTGAAAAAAATCAAAGCCTGAAACACTTGTGGCCCGAGCTTTCCGGATAAGGGATGAGTCAAGAACAAAGGTACCGCTGAGGCTGCGTCTCAGTCTCGCTTCCTTCTCCCCATCTTCGTCTAAGCCTTCGACCTTCAGCTTCTTCAAGGCAAGCTCCTCCCTCTCTTGTATCTTCAGGTCAGCGTGGAGCTCGGCCAGCTTCACGGGGGCCAGATGGAGCTGCCAAGTGAGAACAGAGGGATCCGTGACAACCAGCTACAGAGCGACACGGACACAGCACGAGACACCGACCTTCAAGGAGGTGATGACCAGGAGATCCCGGGAGACCAGGAGGAGACAGAGTTAGGGCCACTGACAACAGGATTCAAAACCTCACATGTTCACGGACAAGAACGTCCAAAGACAGCCAGCCTTTATGCACAGACATGTCTCAAGCCACACTCTGGAAACCCCAAGTCTGCCCGGGCGCTGTTTCGCTAACTATAGCTGCCAGTGCTCCAGATGCCCACGCTGGGCTCCCATAGCGGGACACCCTACTTTTCTCACCCTGGCACCTGGTGACTCTCACTGGTCGCTCGGTAAGCAGGGTGAGAGGGATGCGGGGGCCCGGACGAGGGGCTTGGTGAAGATGCCCGCTACATTGTTCGTACACTACACAACTATCACAGAACGTAAACTAAAACACCAGAGAGAGCAGAAGATTGAATTTACAGAAAACTTGTGAATAAAACCTTAAAAACTAAACGCAAGCACAACCACGGCTGCCCTGGGACATGGGATGCTGCCCAGGCAGACAGAATGCACGGGGCGAAGGTCGTGCTCCCAGACAAGGGGAAAATAGCAAGCACAGATTCCTAGAAGTCCTTTTTCAAAAAAAAAAACAAAACCCACACTGTAATTTCAGATTTGCCCTGTCTTTACTTCCCAAGGACCCTCAATCTCTACCTCTGAAGTACACCATGATCTCCAATGACACCGTGAGACGCTTCTTAAAGGGGTCTGGATGCTTCTGGGTCAGGAATGACTCACCCTCTCGCTTCCCTGGTCAAGAGTAAACAACACAGGTACGAACCCTCAACGCTCCGCCTGGCCGGCTGCCAAGTAGGGGGCAAAGGCTGAGGGCTTCCCCACCCCGACCCCCGGCACGCTTTCTTCATCCCATCCCTGCCCCATCCAGCTCTGGGCCTGGGCTGAGGGAAGGACAAGCGAAGGTGACCGTTAGGCATGCTGCTTTGGGGTTTTTAAAGACAGAACTTAAAGGCCTATTTCCAAGCCACACCCAAGTCAGAACAGCTGGTCACAAGGCCAAGAGCGGAACAGAAGACAGAAAAACACTGGCCTCTCCATCAGGAGCCCTGGCTTTTGGTTCTGACCCGATCAGTAACAAGCGTGCATTGGGGCAGGCGCACCCTTCAGTGAAGCAAAGGGTTATTCTGTGTAAAGCAGAGTTACCAAGCTCTGTGTGAACCAGAATGTGTCACGATGTCACACCAGGGTTCATGGAGACAGGGTGCTGTCATTGGCTAATTGGGAAAAAGCTGCACACCTATTTACATTGTGACACAGGAATATTAAAGGCTCTGAAAAGTCCTGTGGCAAAGGAACCCATCAGCATGGTGGAGCCCTGATTCCCAAAGCTGTTTGATCTCAGACCAGTGAACTTCCCTGAGGACCTGCATTCTTGAAACAAGTCCTGGAGCGGATGCCTGCATGTCACTTCCCCTGGGGCTTCCCCACCATGACCACTCTGTGGCTCCAGGAGGGAGCCCCCAGCTCCTGCTCCTCCGAGCTCTGATCCAGGCGCACCGGCTGGAATTGTGCCATCACCTGTGTGTGTCTCTGATCGTGCAAGTTTCAACACGGCATCTGTTTTCCCTTGGAGATTTTGAATATTAATCTTTAAGTTTCATTAGCTATTTCCTAACATAAATAGACATAAATACAACACAAGCAAATATCTGAAGTATGTGTGGCATATGTCCATAAAAAGTTTACGTAAAAAGAGTCAATATCCACAGGAAACGTCAAATTAAGATCCAGCTGCTGTTTCTGCGGCACTCACACTGCCGACAGTCCCCTGAGACTTGTGGGAGGCCCAGACCTTCTGCCTGCCGCACAGCAGGAGTGCAAGTTTCCTCCGACTCCAAAGCCATCCTCTGTGTCTCCGTTGGAGCCATCCTCTTTGTCTGGAGCGTCCGCCCTCAGGAACCTCCCTGGCCCACTTGCCTGTGTGGAGGCTGAGCCACCCCTCTCCCTGCAGCTCACTCCTCCCTGCCGCTTGGGCTCTTGGGGCTGAGCCAGGCCTGGGGGCAAGGAGACCCCTAGACCTCAAGGGGCCCACGGGCAAAACCAGACAACTGGGTGATGGCACCTGCCAGCTCCGCCCTCTCTTCTCTCAAAACCACACCCCAAGCCCATGGCCACCCAGCTGTGCAGGCCCACCTCTCCAGGAGTTTAAAATCTAACTAGGGAAAAATTCAGATCACATAGGCAAGTTCCCCAAATGAATGGCAGGGCCAAGGGCAGGGAAGAGTTTCTAATTCTGTAGAAGTTTCTCTGACCCTGCTCTCCGCATCTCCCCTGCCGGTGCTCCTGGGGCAGGGTCTCTGTCGTTCAGAGCTCTCCTGGTACAGATCCCCTCTCACCTCCAGGGACCGATTTCCAGGCCCCTCCCTTACCTTAAAACCTGTTCACACAGTGCTCCGACACACCTCCACCTCACTGCCCCTCACCTGGCCCCACCTGCCCAGCCACTTCTCCCCTGAACTCTGCCCAGCACCCCACTGTGCCGTGTACGGAGGTCTTATCTGATCTGCGTGCTCCCAGGACAGGAAGAACTTGGCGATGAGGAACAAGCTCCCGAGGGAGGTCAGTGGGGTCGGGAAAGTCAGGGGACAGGGAAGAATGAGCTGAACGAGACTACTGGGCCACTCTGGAGGCACAAAGCCACTGCACAGAGCAGCCCTGGCTCCCGGGCTCACATTGCTTACAATTTTAAGCCCACATTTACCATTTTCTGTTCATGACACAAAGTCTTGGTGCAAGAGACAGGGCTTCTTTGTCTACTTCCCTACATGCTGAACATGGCTGCTGTTACTACATGGAGTCTTACTGTGTATCTTCTTACTTGCTGTGATGCTCAGAGAAAGGGGGGCCTGCAGCCTACCCCAGGGCGCCAAGGCCCAGGGCGTCCCTCCTGTCTAGGCACAAAGCCTGCCTGTGGCAGGAGCAGCACCCGTGGGGCAGACAGATGATTCTGGCTCTGTTCTGTGGAGTGAGTACTGGCGGTGAGTGGCCCGGGTTTGCCCTCTTTGGGGCTATGGGCAGAGAACCCAGGTGTTCCCTGATCACCAGCTAGTTCCTCTGCTGGGGAGCAGATCTGAAGGCCTCAGGCGGACAAAGCCCTGGCCCAGGTGTGCTTCCTGGTGGGCTCAAGGACGGGCACTATCACCTGTAACCTGTGGTCTTCCCTCACCCCTGTGGCCAACTGACCTGTCACTTCCTCCTGTCCACCTCCCAGGGCCCTGGGAGAGTCGAGCCAGTGCTGTTGGGAAGGTGCTCCAAGAGCTGTACCATCTGGAACCCATGCGGGAGTGTCCTTGTTCCGCCTTCGCGAACCACTAACTCTCAGGTCCTAGGCCACTGAGGGTTTAAATTCCGTGTGAGCTACTGCTCACTTTCCGCTGCCTATGAGCTAGCTCAGTGCTGAAAGTGCCCTGCCTGGCAGCAGTGCCACAGATCGGCCATCGGCTCCGCTCGGAAAGGAGGAAGGCAAGCAGGTCACACGCAAACGCCAGCTCCCATTTCTGCATTCTTTCACCTCTTTCAAGTTAAACGTTAATGTGTTAAATTAGAAGAACTGCTTAATGGAAACCAAGTGCAAAACAGAATCTGTCACATATTAAATAGTGATGATGCAAATATGCAGGGAAGAAAGTTGGCTTTTCTGGAACAAAAGATACCACCCCAGAGCTCGAAGAGGGCACTCGCATCCTCAGGTGGCCAGCTGCCGGCTATCTGTATCCATGCCCTGACTGTGCCCAGACCTGAGGACTCCGCACCACGCAGAACCTCAGAACTCTGAGCTCACAGAACTGTACTGCCCTGGTCAAGGGTGATGTGAGCGTGTCCATAGCGCTCTGTAGCCGTGCTTGCTACTGCTCCTCTTGGCGTCACCAGAAGACATGGCAGCTCTAAAGAGGGACAAAGTCCCAGACCTGAGGGCCACAGAAGCTCCCACAGAGGCTCCCCAAGAGAAGCCTTTGCTCAGCTCCCGCAGCTCCAGAGTTCCAAGGACAGCCCTAAGCTCCCGCCACCACTCAGCAGTCTTGCGACACAGTGGACGTATGTCAACACCATGAGGCTGGGCAGAAGCAACCCCAGTTCCTACCACCTAAAGCACATCTATGAAACAGGAACTGGGTGACTTCTCAGGAAGTCAAGACTTAAGATGCCATAATGGATGAAGCAACAATCCCCTGGCCCATCGAACAAGATGAAAAGTGCTTTAGTATCTCCTCAGAGGCTTCCCCTACCATGGCACCCAAGCATCAAGGCAGGTATCACGCCCCCAGGCCATGAAAGGCACGCTGGAAAGAGAAGGTTAGGCCAAGACTTCATCAGACTCTTTCTCTTACCCTATACCCGATGATACCCTAAGTAATGCTGTACACATTTTATATTTAGATTTTATATTTAGAAAAGAAGTGCTTAATGTTTTCATAAAGTAAATTGTAGAAAAGACAAAAATCTTCCTGGCTGGTGAAGGAAAGTCTCGGAGGCCAAGAGCACTGGCGACAGGCTGTGCCATGAGATGCTGCTCTGTGAAAGCAGCACTCACTCAGGCCAAAGCTCGTCCCTCATTCTTTTCCATGAGACCCCACTTCACGACCTCACCACCATCTGTGGCGGGGTAGGTAAGAAGCTGACGGGAACGACTGTCCGCAGGAACAATTCTCTGCTGCTATGAATCAACTGTGGCACCACCTCCTGCCCACCCCAGGACCCTGGTGCTCTCAGTAGCAAGAGGTGAAGCATGAAGACCGTCCCAGAAGAACAATGATACCATGAACAACCTTTACAGTAAAGATGTCCACAGGTCTGACGCCTATACACCAGCTCACCGAGGACGGCTCACCATCTGGGACCCCACTCCCACCAACTCCTGGTAAGCTTCCACTATCTAGAAGGAAAACCAGGATGAGTCAGCGTGTGCTTCACTGGTCTGCCTGACAGAGTATGAGGCTTTCTGGAAGTGGGGAAGACATACAAAATATCCTAAAACATAACCCCACTCTGGAAGAACTTCACATTCTGTTCAGCAAGACAGACTTCCATGTACAATTGTAGAATTTCAGAGCTAGAAGGGACCAGAAAGGTCATCTAGCCCCAAGGCCTCAGTCCAAATTTGAGGTGAGCAGCTCACCCCAGCAGAGTTACCAGCGAACAGACAGTGGAGATGCAAGAGGGATGTCAGGTCAGGTGTGCACTGAGCACTTGAGAACACGAGGACCATGCAGGTGCAGCACAAGGGCAGGTGAGCCCCAGAGTGGGGCTGAGGAAGCCACTGAGGCTGACAGGCGCAGAGGACCAGTCCTGGGAGGCAGCAGACAAAGCGGCATCTGGACGGGCAAGATGGGACTGACCAGGGCAGCTCAGCATGGTAGGGGGAGGACTCGGGGCCAGGTCACCAAAGCAAAGGGAGCCCCTTGGGTTCTTGGGCCCTAGAGTGTTCCCTGAACACAACCTCCAAAATATCCAGACCCATCTCTTCCTTGTTCCAAATTCTCATCCTGGGGAGACTCTCCACCCAGTCGGCAGATGAATGGCACACCCCCCACACTGGGCACGAGAGAGGAGGACAGGGCCCCGTGCCCCAGCCACTCGTGGTCACATCTATTCCCTGCTGCTCAGAGGCCCTAGTCCCTCAGGAGCCCCTTCCTCCAGGAAGCAGTCCTGCCTCTCCAGGATGGAGAGCCCACTCCACAGGCTGAACGAGGCTTCACTGCTGTGCCCTCCCCAGCAGAGTCCTCAAAGACACTGGTTGGGAACAAAGCTGGGGCATCAGTCCCCACTGTCCCTGCAGTCTGTTCCTCTCAACAGTCCCTCCCCCACCTCTTTCTCCCCAGCCAAAGTTCTTCCTCTTTTGCCTTCCAAAACATAGTTCTTATTTTACAAATTATTTACTTTCCTTCTCAAAGAGTGACAAATGCTTAAAAGAGGAACACTTCACAGAGGATCTCATCCGACCCTGTCATTTTAGAAAAGATGACAGTGAAGCTCAGAGGGGTAGGTCACAGTTTGCAAATACCCATGTCACCAAACAAAAACCATCATGTTAGTGAAGGAGCCAGGGCAGCACAATCGGTTAGCTGCAATCCCACTCAGCCCTGACTGGCCCAGTGACCTTGGGGATGCCCTTTCCCCTCTGGGCTTCTGTATCTACATCTCTAAAAAGAAGGTCAGATTAGATCATCTGTTAAACTGACCTTCAACACCGCCTTGTCCTGTGTTCTAAACTGATCCCACGTCCCTCACCCAAATTAATAAGAATGGGCTCGCTTCCGGAATTTCTGCTGTCCCTGCACACGTCTTTGTGCCCATCACCGTGTTTTTCTTTTTCTTCCATATAGACAGACATAAAGCGATGGAAAAGGTACAGGCCCGGAGGGCAGGAGACCTGAGATCTAACCAGGTTCTATCTCTAACTTTGGAGAAGTGGCTCAGCGCACGGGCCAGGCTGGGCAGCGTTGCAACCCTTAACCTTCGGCGGTCTCAACCTTCAGCAGCGCTGGGCTGCACCACAGCTCTCCGGCGCCAGCACCTAGGTCTCCGCAGTCTTAGGCAAATCACCTTCGCGTCTGGGTCCCTTTCCTGCCGCAGGTGGGGTCGGAGTGCCCCACCTGACCCTTGGAGAGGCTGTGCCAAGGACAGGGTTCGTAACCGGCACCCCCGGTCAGCGCAGGAGACCCGGCCTGAGCCCCCACCCGCGCCCCTGCCCCCAGGCCCTCGCTCGCCCGCCCCCCCGGGCCTCAGCTCACCCGCCCCCCGGCCTGCGCCCGTGTCCCCCGGCTCTCGCTCACCCGCCGGGCCTTCTCCCACAGCTGGTTCAGCTTCTCCATGCGGAATTCCTCCCCGGACTCCCGCTTCAGGGGTGGCTCGGGCTGGTTCTTCTCCCGCGAGTACTTGCCGCCGTGGCTTGCCGCGGGCCGGGGCCCGAGCAGCAGCAGCAGTAGCAGCAGCAGCGCCGGAACCCCGCGCGGCCCCAGCCAGACCCTTCGCGACGCCATCTTTCTCTGCGCCCGGACAACCCGCGCTCGGCGGTGCGAGGAGACGCCCCGCCCATCGCCCAGCCCTGCCCACCAGTTGCCGCCCCGCGCGCCACGCGGCCTCCTGGGAGTTGTAGTCTCCCCGGGCGCGAACCCCCCAGGAGAGGCCACCGGCAGACTACAGAGCCCAGGAAGCCCTGCGGAGATACGGGGCGTCTCCTAGGCAACCACTCCGCGGCCTCCAGGAGGCGGGGCGACTGAGCTGGGTTCCCGCTGCAGAGGCTGGACTGCAGCGTGTGGGCGGCGGGGCTAAGGTAGGACCCAGCCACACCCAGAACCCTGAGTCCGGGCGAGCGAAGGCCTCTTTCCCTTCTGCCCCCAGGAAAAATGAAAAGTTCAGAAATCGGGGCCCTGTCTGGTGAACCTGAGAATGTTCCTATTTATCTGCATTGATAACGACTTTTCCGTGTCATTCCGGGCTTAGGGCGGGTGGCCCTGCTTGGCCCACAGAGGTACAAGTGTCAGTGCTATCAGAACCTCACCACCACCTAGCCCACTCCCTCCCTTGACGGAGGAAGAAGAGCCTGCGGCCTAGGAGGTCCGGGAACGAGCGGCCCACTGAGTGGTCTCCAAGTGTGCAGGGGCGCTGACCCTTTTCCCGAAGACATGTACCTGCACCCCAATACTGCATCCCACTTACGGTGTACTCTCTATTAGAAGTGTTTGTGTACCTGTGTCGTCCGCCCACGTTTTAGTAAATCCATTGAGCAGAATTTAGCATAGTCTTCTTGTTGGGGGCTTGGCCAGCGAATTGAGCAGTAGTACCTTACAAGTAGAGTGGGAAACAGAGAAGGAGTGCGTCCCAGGTGGGCTAGTGGAGGCTTGAAAAACGTGCTTTGGGGCTCGGAGAAGGGACAAGATGAGCCCATCTGGCAAGAGTTACCTGAAAAGGCCTCCAAGGGTGGGTAGGATTGTGCCTGGGAAAGGAGGATTTTCTGAGGGGAAGGACAATGAGGACAAGGAAGGGAGTGGAGAAAGTATCCTGGGAGGAATCAATATTTATTTACTTACTTCTTTAATTTTTTTTAAGAAACAAGGTCTTGCTCTGTTACCCAGGCTGGAGTGCAGTGTTACGATCAGAGTTCACTGCAGCCTCCAACTCCTGGGCTCAAGCGACCCTCCCACTTCAGCCTCCTGAGTAGCTGGGACTACAGGCCACACCACCACAACTGGCTAATTTTTAAAAAAATGTTTTTAGAGGCAGGGTCTTGCTGTGTTGCCCAGGCTTGTCTTGAATTCCTGGCCTGAATCCATCTTCCCACCTCAGCCTCCCAGAGTGCTAGGATTATGCTTGCTTACTTTTAAGTTATATCCTATGTTGTTCCAGCAAGAGTGTGAGGAGCCTGGAATCCAGATGATTTGTTCTTTGCTGCTTAGTGTCCAATATTTTGAGAGTGATTGTTTCGCTTATTTTGTCCGTTTAGTTGTATCAGGAAAAAGGGTAAATTCAGTCCCTGTTACTCCATATTAGCCAGAAGCACAACTTCCCAGCTATTTGGCTGTTAGTATTTATTTATTCAGATGATCTAACTACTGTAACAAACCCCAAATGCATAAAGGCATCCCAAAAGGATATCCCAAAAGGATAGACCTTTATTTTACTTTGTTCTTGTCTGAAAGGCAGGTGTTCCTGGTCGGCAGCATTGGTCCTCCAGGCAGTGATTCAGGGACCCAGGCTTCGCCATTTTCCACACAGAACTTCCAAGATTGCTTCCCACAGGCAGAAGGGGACAGAGCACTGAGGACCATCCAGGGGATGTGGCTGATAGGCCTGTCACTTCCACTCATGTTCTACGGCCTAGAACCAGTCACATGGCCACACCTGACTGCAGCAGGCTGAGAAACATTGTCTTGCTATTTACTCGAGTGGAAGGGACAATGAGTGGTGTGGACAGTTAGCCAGTCTGCTTTTTAGACCACCTGACTGAAGAGCTAATGCAGAGTGATCATGGTACCACGCAAGTGAGCGGAGCTTCCAGTCAGCTTTTAACCCCCCACTCTTCATCATGAACAATTAGCTAAGGATTCCTAAAAATCTAAGGAAAGCTCCGATTGGAAAATGAGACAGAAACTGAAATGAATACACAACAGTAAACAAACAACTAGGAGAACACAAACCACGCAGGGAAAAAGCAAAGGGAACAAATGACTGTCATTATTCTTACAGAAACAGGAGAAGCTATTAGATCATGGAACACACACATATGTATACACACATAATTAGAGAATTGTATACAATATATAATGTTATATAAGAAAAAAATGTATAATTCAGAGAACAAACCAAAAACACAATAGCAGAAATGAAAAACCAAATAAAATGATAGGAAGATAATTAAGGATATCTCTGAAACAGCATATTGAAGAAATGCAGTGATGGTAAATAAGAAAAAGAAGAAAAAAATAGACTTCCCATTTAGAAGACCTATTATTTGATTAACAGGGGTTTCAGACAGAAAAAATGGGGAATAATGCACTATTAAAGAAATAATTCAAGACAAATATCCAGACCCAAGGGGCATGAGTTGCCAGGTTGAAAGGACCCACTAAGAAGTGACTCTCACAATGAATGAAAAGCACACGAAGGCACATTAGTGTAAAATTTCAGAACACTGGAGGTAAAAACATTTTATGAGCTTTTAAAGGGAAAAATAAGTAAATGGAAAGGGTATAAAATGCCTTCAGGCTTCTCAATAGGAACACTGGAAGTAAGAAGATAGCAGAGCAATAACTTCAAAATTCAGAAGGAAAATAACTCCCAACCTAGAATTCTATACCCAGCCACTGTGCCCTCTTGAACTCACTACCTGCATAAGTAGCATCCCCCACCCTCCGAATGTCTGAACGTTCCCTTGACTTTGTTCTACGTGGAAGCAGCACCCCTTTGTCCTTCAACGCCAGTACGACTCCCTCTAGTACTCTTCCCTTGCAGTTGTTGGCAATTCCCGTCTCCAAGAGTGTGCTGTTTCCAAAATCCTGGCCTGCTCTCCCTTGATGATCTTGACCTCCAACCTAACCCAGCCCCCCACACTCACAGCTACACCCTTGACTATATGATCCATAACCATATATGTGACCCTCTCCACGCACCCACTCAGCAGTCTCCACCTCCTGACTTCCAGGGGCCTTCATCCAGTGTCTCCCTTGACAACCCTCAACCACCGGGTGTACGATCTGCCAACCCCACCACATCCTCACTGTGGTGCCCCTCTGTCCTCCCTCTCCCCTCTCAGCTGTTACCATGAGCACCAAACATTCTCAGCAGCAACCACCAATTCCCCCAAGTCTTATCTTTATCAGGCCAATGTCCCGGGGCCCTCAGTTGTCACTACAGGATGTGGACCACAGACTGGCCATTTCTTTGCATCCTTATCTGGTGCTTCTCTTCATGTCTTCTCTCCCCTGGAAAGTACATTCTCTGAGAGCAGGGACTGTGTGTCCTGTGTCTCTGTCTCCTATTGCTCAGCACAGAGGGGGGCAAAGAGTTGGTGCTCAGTGAAGATTTGTAGAATGGATGGGTGGATAGATGGGTAGGTGGATGGATGGGGAATGAGTGGGTGTGTGGGAGGATGGATGATGGTGGATGGAGGATGGGTGGATGGGTAAATGGATGAATGCATGATGAATTCCTCCCTTGTTCTCAGCCTGGTCCCAGAATATGCTGCCTCTTCTCAAAAATAAGGTGCCAAAAAAGTCCCTGGTGACAATGAGACACAGGAATAGATGGTGAATGTCTCATACCCACTTTGGATCCAGAACAAGCCTCGGGGAGACTCTGCTGGGGTCTGCTGCTGCTGAATGGGGGTGGGTGGGCTGAGGTTGGGGGAGGAGGGCAGCTCTAACCCTTCTTCCAGGCTCCAGGCCTCTCAGGCCAGATGGCCCCACCAGAGCATTTCTGCATTTCTGCAGATGCTGACATTTTGTCCCCAGGGGCTAGGGGCTGGCCTGGATCCTTGCCCCTGTGGCGTGTAGCTATAATGGGGATGCCCTCCACCGCCAGAGCTCCTGGCCCCTTGTGCCTTCCTCTGGTGCCCTCCCCACCTCCTGTGTTGGCAGATCCAGGAAGTACCTACCTGGGTACAAGGATCATCGCTCAGCACCTCACCCCTACACAGGGCCATTAACTTGTCTGTTATAAACTCCTACTTAGTAATTCTGACGTGAAACTCCCACTAGGCCGAAACTTGGCCCAGAACAGCAATTACTGGAAATACATTTTTTAAAAAGTTGACAGTTTTGTAAGAGTTCATCCCCCTCCGCTTCCCAGCCTCCCCCAGAGAGACGTGTACTTAGGTCCTTGTGTGAGTCTAACTTTGAGACCAAGAGTTACAGTATAAATGGGCTCTGGGCCCAGCCCCTGGCCAGGGCCTGGTGTCATGGGAGAGGCTCAGGTCCCTGCCAGGTCTCCTTACGAAAGGGAACGTCTCTGGTGCCCTTGGGCTGCCACCTGGGCACTGCCTAAAAGCTTTATTAAGCTGCGCAATTCCCAAGACGCTGTCTCAATGAGCAGTGAAATTATGACATGAGTGGCCCAGGTGGGCTCCACCGGCCCTTCTTCTGATGACAAGTGTCAACAGACAAGAGCCCAAACTCTGTAAAATAATTTTTTTTTTCTGTAAAATAATTTAAAGAGGTTTATTCTGAGCTGAATATGTGTGACCATGGCCTGGAGCCATGCCCAAGAAGCCTTGAGCAAGTGGTAACTCTGTGGTTGGGTTATGATTTGGTTTTATACATCTCAGAGACAGGAATTCCACGTAAAGTCATAAATCAATACATGGAAGGTATACGTTGGTTTGTCCCGAAAAGGCAGGACATCTCAAAGCAGGGCTTACAGGTTATAGGCAGCTTAAAGATTCTTTGATTTGCAGTTGGTTAAAGAAATGAAGTTTTGTCTAAAGGCTTAGAACATTTTAAGTTAAGGAAGTCTGTTGATCAGAGATAAGCTGCGGGACATATACTGGACAC